AAAATTTAGAAAAGTTTCAAAAGATATAACAGAATTACAGAGAATCTAAAAGATGTATAAAATGTGAAGGAGATGAACAATGCCATAAATTCCGTTTTCTAATAGAGAAAGCCCACGTACTGAGAAGTGAGTACCAAGTCAGCATAATTGATAATACTGAGACGATAAGGCACAACACAGGTTCCTATACTAACAGTGGGCACTTTGAGAGTAGCGTTAGTCGAAATTTATGGAGGACGTGCCCACTGCCCACAGTATTGTGGGTTCAAAGCTGCACGGTAAGGACCCTTTTAATAGTTTGACTCGAGTCTCGCCGAAAAGTAGGGGGAGTGTGTATGCAGTGATTTTATTTTATGTCTCACACAACTTACATTAGTTTTGTGAGGCCTCTTTTTATCTCACATATTTGCGGACCCATATCTTACATATCTGGGTTCATAAAATTCTGGGACCCACACAGTTATGAGACAAAAAAGAGGCCTCACACAACTAGTGTCAGTTGTGTGAGACACAAAATAAAATTTTTCATCTCTTAGTGAAGGTAATGTTGATTGTTTAGATATGATCTTTTATACGAAATTTCGAAGGTTAAATACAGAAACATTAACAAAGTTAATCCAGTAAATTTGCTTTGGACTAGCCCATCCCAGTGTATCATTGTGAATTTGTGACGAAGACTACTTACAAAAGCCTATGCATGAATACATTTTGGCAATGACTACACCCTAAGGAAACAACAATAACTACAACAACAATATATCCAATATATTTTCATATGTGGGGTTTGGGGAGGATACGCAGACCTTACTCTTATCTAATGAAGATAGAGAGGTTTGTATTGGTCAAAATCTGATCGCAGCAGTCGGCTTGACCAAGATCCCGTCTAAGCGACAAGATGGTAAAGGACGACACAGTTTGCTCCGTGACCCCGTACTTACAATGCCCGCCGTGACAGAGAACGACGCTCAGGGAACAACGAATGCGGACGTCTTGCGAGTTCGTATTGACCTATAGTGAGAATTTCATAACTATATATAGGGGAGGAGTCTCTCAAGAAAGGGATTTTTTTCCCTCTCTCTGGCCTCTCCTCTGTAATTTTCTTAGAAAAGAGGGGCCTTCCCATAGAAGATAAGAATGAATGATCTTCATCGATTAATGAATGAGAAAATATGAAATATCAATGAGATTGATCTATTCTGGTTTCATTTTATGCATTATTCTCCGATTCGTTTATAGATCTGGAGGTTATTAGCCTTGACTAAGATTTGCTCCTTCATCTTCTTTGATTGATTTGTTCAAAAAGGTTTTAATATCTTTTGAGTCAAACAATTTGGCGCCGTCTGTGGGGATTTCTTAGTGAAAACCTCCTAGTCTCCTCCAGATAGAAAACCAGAAACACGATCACCCATCAGAGGAACGGTAAGTGAATCTCACACGCCAGCCTAGATCATGATGCTATATACCAGCAAAAGTTGCAACCAACATCATCCCCCGCATGCCGGGCATCACATGAACCAGTCAAAACAAGCCTGGCCCGCAATAAACCAAGGCAAAAAAAGGAAGGGAAGCAAGACCGAATACGGCTACCAAACTCGGAAAACACCATCATCGTCAACCATCGGAACGCCAAGCAGAGCAAGTAACGCCACCGATCCGCCTTCGTTCACCAACTCATCAGATCGGGATAAGGAGGATATCATCCTAACCTACCTTCTGTTGAGTGCCTAAACAAGAACGTAAGCGCAGCACGGGCAAGTAAACAAAGAAACATACCAACTGAAGGATAGGAAATTGTCACGGAACCACTGAAATATCATCCACCAGACAAACCCGACGCCTCGGAAGCAATGACCTTCGAACGATACCTTACCTCCCTCACTCAAAAGGTGTCCCAAGAAAGTCTCCCTTGGGACTTAAACATCAGGCCGACAAGGAGGAACACCCCCCCCCACCCCGAAGTCAAAGCATAATTCATCGTCCTACCCGCCAAGTCGACATCCCAAAATCGGAGAACGGAAAGGTTAGACAGGAAAACTCCAATGTGTATGAAACGAGTGCGAGCTAAGCAGCAGCATTTCCTGTTCTCCGATATCACGCTCCCCAACGCAAGCAAACTTAAACTGGCTGGGACTCATCCTCGAAGTCCCTACGGGCGAAGTGATTCACCAATCCACACGACGCCCCGAAATGACTAACAACGAGGACGAGTATGAAGCCGTGATTGTAGGATTGAATTTAGCCCTAAAATATGACGCTCGACGACTCGTCTTACATAGCGACTCCCAATTCGCGATGAATCAAGTCACTGGGACTTTCCAAATCAAGAACCGAGACTACAAAAGTACCAGTCAGAAATCCGTAAACTACTACCAGAATTCGATGAATGCCGCCCCAACCAGACACCAGGGGCGCAAAATGCCAAAGCAGACGGCCTCCCCAAATTAGCGGCAGCCACCAGAAATATCAATAAAGAAAACGTAGTCGCCCCCCTCCATTCCTCGATGACCAGGTTGAGGTACATTCTATAAATCTGACTTGGGACTGGCGCAATCGTGTTGTGACTTTCAAGAAGGAACGCTCCCGCAAGATAAGAAGGAAGCCAAAAAACTCCGAATACAGACGCCCAGGTACCGCCTCGTGAATCACGACCTTTACGAAAGGACACTCGGTAGCCCCCTGGCCAAATGCCTCGGACCAAACCAAACGAGGCGGGTATTAGAAGAAGCACATGAGCAGAACTGTGGTGCTCAAACGGGAAACCGTTCCCTCGTCGGATGCCTCATCCGTGCGCGGCACTACTGACCCACCATAAAAAAAGGAGCCGCAAACTACGTCAGAAAATGCGAACAATGCATATTGCAGGACAACTGTTGTACTCCATCACTTCGCCGCGACCGTTCATAAAGTGGGGGATGGATATTGTCGGACCCCTTCCAGCAGGGCGAGGTAAGGTACGCCCCCCTTTTGCTTTTAACTGACTATTTTTCTAAATTGGTAGAAGCAGGTGCATACACTCAAATGCGTGGGCAAGAAGTTATCGCATTCATGTGGAAAAATATAATATGCCGCTTTGGCATTCCCAAAGAAATCCGCTTTGGAAAATGTCGCCCATCTCAAACACTTCCACTTCTGAAAAGAGGCATCTCCTAAATCGCACTTTCTCCTTCACCCGGGTTTTGTCCCTATCAGGTTCTCTGTGAGATTTTTGATGAGGCAACAAGGGAGACGTCTCAAAGTCCGGAGTGTTGTTCATCACCCCGCCCATCGACACGGTCTCCGGGCCGAGTAATGAAGGGACTGGGTGTAGATAGCCAAATCCCCATTGTATATACAAATTCAACACATGTTTCCTACAAGAATGTAATCAAAATCTCCAATGTATGAATGAAACAAGCATCCACGACACTCCAGCAAACAGAATAGAGCGCCATATTTACGACGGGTTAATATTTCAATGAAAGATCGAAATCACCTTTAAGGCCAAGGGCCTCCGCAAAAAGGACAAGTTCGACTTCGACCGAACAATGACGGGTTAACATTTCGACGAAAGATCGAAATAATACCCTTTAAGGCCAAGGGCCTCCGCCAAAAAGAGAAGTTCGACTTTGATCGAATAACGACGGGTTAATATTTCGATGAAAGATAGAAATAACACCCTTTAAGGCTAAGGGCCTCCGCCAAAAAGAAGAGTTCGACTTAGATCGAATAACGACGGGTTAACATTTCCACAAAAGATCGAAATAACACCCTTTAAGGCCAAAGGTCTCCGCCAAAAAGAGAAGTTCGACTTCGCGAATAACGACGGGTTAATATTTCGACGAAAGATCGAAATAACACCCTTTAAGGCCAAGGGCCCCCGCCAAAAAGAAGAGTTCGACTTCGATTGAACAACGACGGGTTAATATTTTGACGAAACATCGAAATAACACCCTTTAAGGCCAAGGGCCTCCTCCAAAATAACTATGGGTTAATATTTCAACGAAAGATCAAAATAACACCCTTTAAGGCCAACGGCCTCCGCCAAAAAGAGAAGTTCGACATCGATCGAATAACGACGGGTTAATATTTCGACGAAAGATAGAAATAACACACTCTAAGGCCAAGGGCCTCCGCCAAAAAGAAGAGTTCGACTTCGATCGAACAACGACAGGTTCATATTTTGACGAAAGATCGAAATAACACCCTTTAAGGCCAAGGGCCCTCGCCAAAAAGAAGAGTTCGACTTCGATCGAACAAGACGGGTTAATATTTCGACGAAAGATCGAAATAACACCCTTTAAGGCCAAGGGCCTCTACCAAAAGGACGAGTTCGACTTCGACCGAACAACGATGGGTTAATATTTTGACGAACGATCGAAATAGCACACTTTAAGGACAAGTGCCTCCGCCAAAAAGACGAGTTCGACTTTGCTCGAACAACGACGGGATACTGCTTCGAAGCCAGTTCGAAAGTAACATCCCAATGGCTAAGGCCACCGACAAAAATACGAGTTCGACTTCGATCGAACGATGACGGACCAACATTTTGACAAGAATTCGAAATAACACCCCTAAGACCGAAGCCATCGCCAAAGATAACCGGGGCTCGCGACGGGATGATACCTTGATATAAGCTCGAAAATAAAATCCCTACGGTTAAGGCCGTTATTAGAAAGAGAATCCGATACCGTTCGGACGTTGATAGATTAGCACCTCGATACGAAGTGAAAAACGCCGTCCCGTCAGCTAAAGCAGTCATCAAGGCTCCACTCAAACCAAGCGACCTTAAAGTCCCCTAAGAAGCGGGAGGTCAGCATGCAGAAATCCACTTTATATCAACATAATGAACAGCAAAATAGGAAAAGGAGTACGGAAGGCATATAACAATGAAAAATCCTCTTCGTACAAAGCCACTGCGCAAACAACCGTAAATTACCTACAACTAAAATCAACGGAGTCCAAGAAAAGAACAATAAACTACAAAAAAAGAAGACAAAGACAACAATTCTTTCACTCGACACCATCCCAGGAGATCCTCCCTCATCGCCCGCACCCTCATTAGCTTCCGGCGTTGCAAAGTCATACCCACAGTTTACACGAGCCTCTCGTGCCTTCTCTCGTACTCCTACATACGCGGCCTCAGTAACTTTGCCCGCCTCCCACAAACTCTTGTAGATATCCCGTTGGGATTCAGCATGAACCCAAAGCTCGTGCAAATGAGGAGGAGCAGCGGCGGATGAAGATTCGACTTGAACCAATAGTTGTTCCTTTTCGGCCTCAAGAGCAGCGACCCGGTCTGCTAGGGTCGATGCATTTCGGTCGATCTCGCCAATGTGCTCCTCAAGCCTCGCTTCCCTCAACGTGGTTGTCGCTCTCTCCGACTCCTGCTCAGATTGGAGGACGCGGATGGTGTTCTCTAAAGGCGCAGCCCTCGCCAAAGCCGATGACCAAGCTCTCTCGATATTTTCCAAACAGGCAACTTTTCTCTCCAACTCAGTCAACTTTCCCATCCACTCCGCGCTCATCGCCTCGACCCTGATAAGGTTCTGATCCATCTCTGATTGCATAGACCTCAACTTCTCCTGAAGATGTTCGCACTCTGCAGCAACCCCTTTACCCAACTCAAGCTCTTCGTCCTTGGCACGAAGTTGCTCCTCGAGTACACTATTTCTGTGGATAGCCTCCATCAGTTGCTGGTCCCTCTACTCCAACTCCTCACCGAGGGATCGAGCATCAAGGGTCGCCCTCAGCCGTTCGTGCATCTCGCGGCATTTATCGCGATAGCACCGATATTTTCCCAGCATCGTCAGGAAAATCTTGGCCCGAGTATCAGCCCTGCGAGCACTCTCAATCTCCACCATGTACGTCTGGAAAACTAAATAAAACAGGCTAAGGCCGGGCCAGCAAGGAAAGCGAAAGGAACATAAAAGGAAAGCGAAACGTACCCTCAAGCCCATAGCGGCAACTTCGTGCATCAAAATCAATATCGGGAACGTTCCGGAGATCCTCACTCTCAGCGGCGGAGGACAAGAGGTCAAACTGCGGTACTAGGTCCTCCGTATCTCCCAAAAGGTTGATGTTCGACGGAATCTCTAGAAAACGGGACGGTCCTCCCGCCTGAACCACCGAACGGGTAAAACCCTTTTCAAACATACTAACATCATCAGGATCAAGATCAGACTCGGATTCGCAGTCATCAACCACGATACCCTTTCCCCTTCCTACGGCCGAGGAAGAAGCACGACCAGGTATCGAGGACGAAGGTCCATCCAAAGTAACAGCAGCGGCCTCAGAAGTCTGACCCCCCGTCACGATCGGTGGCAGGTCAATCACAGCGGCAGGAACTTCCGTCGATGGGTCGGACATAGCAACTGGCACCGCCTATGTAGGTGGAACGGCATCGACCCCCGCTTCAGATCCCGTCAAGGGAAGGTCTTCTTCTAAGCATATCACAACTGAAGGAGTTGTTTCAAACTCCGCTCGCCGCCTTTTCGATGACTCCTCCCTCTCCTCGGCATGGGGAGATTTCCTCACTATGGAGGCGACAGGGGCTGACCTTTCAGGTCGAGTAGTGACCTCCGCGTGTGCGGCCGTAGTCGTAGATTCGACTGAAGCGGCCCTCGATGAAGGGCGGGCAGCAGACGCCGATGCAGGGCGAGCAGACGAGGCAGGTTGACGGAAAGCTAATGGAGGAGCCTTCGCTCTTCGCACTCTTCCTGGCATCAACAAACATCACATAAGAAACCAAGTAAAAAGAGAAGGAGAAAGAGTAGCGAACAAAGACAATATTACTCACCAGTAAGGGGCTTGCGTCCATATTTCTCATAAAAAGACGACCATGTACGGAAACCCGCCGTATGAGGAAGGATGGCACTCACCCATTCGTGGATACCATCAACGGGGGTAGGAGGCAGCTTCGCAGCTGTAAAAATACAGTTTAGTATTACCCAAATAAGAAACGGTCAAGCATTATTCCGACAGAAGGCATAAAACTTACGAGTGAAGTTCCATTTCTCAGGGAACCCCGAAGGATCCGCCACAAGATGTTCGGTCCGCACATAAAAGTAATTCTCGTAGTAGCGACGGTTGGCTCTATCGTCCATCTGAAAGTACAAGAGGGGAGGGGGGGAGGGGGGGTGAATTGAAGCCTTTTTAAATTTATAGTCGACTACTCTTAAGACCTAGTCGACTTATGCGGAGACAGCCTGCACAGAGCTGTTAGTTCTTTCGATTTAAATAAGTGTTAATTACAATAAACAGTAAAGGAATAGAATATAATACGAGAGCGATAAAGTAAATGACACCAGAAATTTTATACTGGTTCGGAACCAATGTGGTATCCTAATCCAGTCTTCTTGGGTTGCAAGAGTGTTATCTTTTAGAGCTCTTTGTAAATTGAATTGAGTACAACCTTTTTGATTTTCAGCGATCACCACCAACGCTGATAGGGTTGGTTTTCACTCGCTCACCAACAACGACCCTTTGGTTTTCACTCGCTCACCAAAGAAACGAACAATGACATAACCTCTAGGACACACTGCCTCTCCAATATTTTTCTGTCTCTCTTCTCTCTTTTGGGTACATAGTAAATCTACTAAAGTGAATTACAATGCTTGTTAAGAGTAGAATAAAGAACTTGTGGTTGGATAGACAATTGTATAGAAGGCTGCATGTCTTCTTCTTTCCTAGGCTCTCGTTTTTATAGTCTTCAATAGCTTCTGACGTTTGGCTTGATTTTGTTGATCCCTTGATTTATTCAATCAGAATATTTTCTCCTTTGATTGAGTAGATATCAACGTGACTTCCTGATGAAGTGTCTTGTTGATGGACTCAATTATATTTCCAATTTGTTGATATTCTGGACTTCATGCCTTAAGATCATTTGAGTTCTTTCCTTGTGAAGTAGTCAATATTATTGTGTATCCATAAAATGAGATCTTCCCATTTGAAGTGTTGTCAACAAATGCACCAGTATATATTGAATCTTTCTTCCTTGAAAGAGCTTGGTGATTCTCTGCCTTTGATCTTGGAGATATAATTTCTTACTATAATATTGTAGTAAGAATATTCCATACGTAGTAGATCTTGTCCAAAACTTTAGGAAGCATTCTTCCATAATTCACAAGGTTCCTTTAGTAGGTCTTGAAAAATAATCTCTTTCCATAAAATAGATTGTACTATACCCATAATATATTTTCTTTCCATAGAAGATATATTCTTCTCCCATTATATTGAAAATATTCCTTTCTTGATCTTGGAAGATATCTTTCCATAATATAAATTGTACTACATCCATAACATATTTTCTTTCCATAGAAAATATATTCTTCTCCCATTATATTGAAAATATTCCTTTCTTGATCTTGGAAAATAATATCTTTTCATAATATAAATTGTACTACATCCATAATATATTTTCTTTCCATAGAAAATATATTCTCCCTTGGTCTTGTAGTATCTTTTCGATGTAGTATCTTCCTTCCATAAAATAATAGATCTTCTCCATGATTTTAGCAACTTTCCTTTCAAGATGTTGAAAAGCTTTCCATCCATAAGTTCCATAGATTTTTCTTCTCATATTGTAGTAAGCCATTCAACATTTGAAATTTCACTTTCAAATATTATTCCTTCTAGATTAAATCTCTGAAAATAATCTTCCTTGATGAATTCTTCACATGATATTCTCTTTCCCATATTTGTTTGGATCTTACCAGCAATTTCTTTCCTGTGCAAGAATAAGATTACCACAAGTAAATGCTCTTTGATTAATATTTATTTTGGTTTGTTATCATCAAAATTAATACGTGAAACCTTGAAGCTAACAATCTCCCCCTTTTTGATGATGGCAAACCATTGAGTACAAAATAAGAAAATTTAATCAAAAACTTAATTAAGTACAGTAAGATTACTTCCCTAAAATGTCGAGCTTTCTCTTTCATGCATAGGCGCCATGCCGCGTAAAGGCTCCCCCTTACTCTAAGCGTTCCTTCGTCATGCTCCCCCTGTCTACATACATTCTACCTTTTTCGCGTTCCTTCGTCATGCTCCCCCTGTCTCCATACATTCTACCTTTTTCGAGCTTTTGTACACATTATTTTCTCCCCCTTTTGGCATCATCAAAAGGGTGAAGGGAATATGCAAGTAAAGTATAACTATAACTTAAAATTATCTAGGGAGTTATAAAAAACATGTAGTAATGATTTCCTTTAAGAGCCGTAAGCAGAAAGAAAAATCTAACAAAATTTTAAGCTAGCTAACAGCTTTTATTCCAGCCAAAATCTCCAAAGTATTAACCCAAAGCTAAAAAAATATTGAACTGTCGTTGTAGGTAGACAAATAGAATTCTAGATCACAGAAGAACATCATTTCACATGATTGAAGGCTTAGTAGAGATTAAAAAAAAACTCACAGAATACTTGATTTTTCAAAACATCATTTAGCATATAAGACAGTGTAATCGCACATAGTCACTTGAAAAATGCTCGATGATTTAAAAAGATTAAGAAACTTTTGATATTCTAACATGTTAAACTTTCAAGAGAAATTTGAGCAAAGACTTAAGACTCTTAGAAAGATTACAACATATTAATGCATACAAGAGTCAAGAAATGGTTATATATTTATATTACCAAAAAGAAGGATATGGGATCATTCTCATGAAAGTCGTTATCCTTTTCATGACATGAGAATACTAAAAATCTCCATCCCATTTTTATTTCATTCCACTTTGTTGCCTGCAAGGCTTGCATCTAAAAATATTCTACTAAATCAAAGCAATTAGTTCTTGCATACAGTAATCCATGATTAGAATCAACCAAAGATCTTTTGTGGCACTATAAAAAATATTATGGGATCAGGTATACCAAAATATTTGTCATAAAAATGCAATAGAGAGCTGGTCATACCTTGGTACTTTAATCGATCATTGGACTTACTAATTTTCTCCTTGCTTTGCATTATTTGGAATGTGAAGATAAGGTCAATTCTCCATTATACTCATTTCCAACTCGATCATCTACTAGAGACTTAAAAATGCTTGACATGCTTTCAGTTAGTATTACAAAAAAAATATGCTCTTGTAAATACATCTTTTGAAAGAATAATCGTCAGATGATAAATATGAATTTGTTTCAAATGGTAACTGGTATTAGTCACATGAAAGTGATTAAAACAAACATTCAATTCCAGAGAGAGGCTAGAGAATAATGTCATGCAGTTTTCAAACCATTTAAAAAATGTTTCAACATCCATAAAAATACTTTACAAACTTTGTAATAAGCACATGAAAAATGATATTCTAACAAAACTTTCAAGGAAGAAACAAACCTTCTTGTTGTGAAACCTTGGGCTACACATAATTTTTACGACCTTACCAGTTTTATCCGCTTTAGATATCCATGATTGCAGCTCATTTGCTTGGTACTGGATTTTCATACTGTTGATTCTTTCAGCTTCGCTCAACAAATCTTGTATTACTAGGATCCAACATTCATCGTTTAATGCTTCTTCATGACTGTCTAGTTCAACTAGTATAGATGTGTCACTAGCAATTTGTTTCAAGCTATCCACTGTAATTCTCCATCCTTATTCACAAATTGCTTAGAAAAATATTAGTATAAAGAAAAACGCGCATGGTGAGATTTCTTTTACAACTAATGAATAAGAAATATGACAAGAGTCTTACCAAGACATTTGCAACCAAAGGAAATAAGATAACCAAAAAAATTGAATTTTCTTCCTTCCCATAGCTCAGATAGAATTTCATTCAAGATAAGATCCAATGTAAATGTTAAAGCACATATAAGCCAATGATGACAATTTACAAAAATGATGCTTTCTTTTCAAGTCTGCATTCAATTCAGGCACCAAACTAATAAGAGAAGAATCATGTATGACAAAGAAATTATCGAACAAATACTTTAACTTACATCTATAATCAACATTTTCTTATTAAGGAATATAACCTAAGCAAACGTATAGATAAGCATCAATAGAAACATATACATGTACCTTCCAGGCTTTTGAGTCTTAGGAATGGTTGAGTATCTCCATATGTGCACGAGTTACCGAGGCATCAAGATTAAACAATCTTCTAAAAAATGAATGAAATATTGAAACTTTCACTAAAAGAATGAATATAAGAAGTAATTCTCTTCACAAGTTATTTTAAGCTCACCACTACATGAAAGGAATACATGCATGCATACTTGCTTATCCTAATGCTTATACAAATGGCATGGTTCATGCAAGATATTCGTTCTTATTCAAATCTCTAAGTCAAGGATAAGATTAACATCAAACATAATAGTAGTATGTTGCAGCTAGTCGACTCAAGCAATATGTAGTTGTACATAACAAAAAATGTTACTAGATACGTATCACCTTGTAAAGCATCCGAATGAATTTGAATAACCTTTAGTGATACCAATCACTTAAGCTTTACCATCACATGTAATAGTTCCTTCATCACTTGTAGAGTATGCATGAACGTTGAAGCATTTTTAAGCATGTGCCTTGACCAACCATTATGCAAATTTCATTTATCCCTTTTTATGGCTGGACTCAGAATTCCTGCAAAACAGATTAATTTATTTTTGGTACCCAAACCTTTTTGGTCCTTCATGGTTAGTAGCTTGTATAATTGGAGATACATGTAATTGTTTAGGTCTCCAAACAAATTTTGATCTATCATGACTTTTAGCATAATTACATGCAAATGCCTTATGTCCAAAATTACCACAGTAGTGACATGTAACAAAAGAAGTAGAGTATTTACCAGTAGGTGCCTTAGTCGACTTGAAGATTTTCTGAGTCGACTTGTTTGAAGTAGGGTGTCTACTGGTAGATCCCTTGTCAGTCAACTTGGAGTTATTAAGAAAATATGCCCGCTTGTTTGGTCGATCAAAATGGTGACGGGAAGATACGTGCAAACTATTCATTTGTTTACGAAGTTCCACATTTTCTTCTTGAAGTAAGTCATTTTCAACCTGATATTCTTCAAGTAGAATATCCCAATCTTTCTTTTCCTTTTTCAACTTGTTATATTCTTCAAGTTGGGTCTCCAGGTTTTTCTTCTCCCGTTTAGTCTTCATGAGCTCATCAAGAATTTTTCTCATATCTTCTAAAACATGTTCTACGATACTTTGAAGTTCATTACATTTTCTCACAATCATGAAATCTTACCTCACTTGTTTCACTTGGGGCCATGATGCAGTTGCTCGTAGATTCCTCATGATCGTAGTCTGATATATCTTCATCACTCCAGATACCAATAGATTTTCTTTTCTCACTTGTCTCACTTCGTGCCATGAAACAAAGGTTGACAACTCCATTATGATTTTTATTTAGCATATATTCATCACTCCATACGCTGGAATATTTTCTCTTTCTATTACCCTTGGATAGTTTCCTTTTTAGTTCTAGACAGTTGGCTTGGATGTGACCATAATTTCCGCATTTGTAGCACTTTCTGTCATTGTTTTTATGCTCACTTATTTCATTACCTTTTCTAGAACTTGAATTGACTCTTCCATTTTTCTTGCTTCTTCGTGTCGTGTTAGAGACAACTCTAGAAAATAATGCAATATCATCTTCATGTTTGTCTCCTTCTTCTTCGGCTTCACTTTCAGACTCAGCAATAGTTGATTTAGAAACAACACTCTTTTTCTTCTCTTCATGTCCATGCTTTTTGAGATGGGTTAGCTCAAAGGCTATAAGGTCTCCACGAAGTTCATCATATGATAGTTTGTCGAGATCTCCGTATTCAAGAGCAACAACTTTTGGTTGCCATAAGGTGGGTAAACTTCTTAGAATCTTTCTGACTTGTTCACCATTTGAATATGGTCTTCCAAAGGATTTTAGATCTACAACTATTTTGCTAAATCGGCCAAACATGTCTTCAATGGATTCATCTTCCTTCATTTGAAACAACTCATAATCACGAATCAGACGGTTTATCCTTGTTTCTTTTACTTTACCGGTACCTTCGTAGGTAACTTCAAGTTTATCCCACATTTTTTTGGTTGTATCACAACTTGATATTTTCTCAAATTCTTCTCCGCTTATAGAATTATATAATAGATTTTTTGCCTTTGAATTTATCTGCACAATCGCCATATGCTCATCAGTATAATCATCTATATCAAGGGTTTTGGTAGATACCTATCCTTCTGGTTTCTTTTCTGGTTTGGACAGCAGGAGAGGAAAGTCATCCTTCTTGATGACTCGCCGTACTTTGACATCATAAGATTTGATGAAAGCTTCCATTCGAATTTTCCAGTGAGTGTAATATTGTCCGTTGAAGTATGGTGGTCTTAATGCAGAATCCCTTCTTGGAGTAAGGCTCCGATAACTGTGTGTGCTGACATGATCTTTTCTCACTTGCTGTTAAGCAAAAGTAAAAATGTGAGACCTGCTCTGATACCAATTGAAAGTACAAGAAGGGGGGTGAATTGTAGGCTTTTTAAATTTCTAGTCGACTACTCTTCAGACCTAGTCGACTTATGCGGAGACAGCCTGCACAGAACTGTTAGTTCTTTCGATTTAAACAAGTGTTAATCACAATAAACAGTAAAGGAACAGAATATAATAGAGAGCGATAAAGTAAATGACACCAAAAATTTTATACTGGTTCGGAACCAATGTGGTATCCTAATCCAGTCCTCTTGGGTTGCAAGAGTGTTGTCTTTTAGAGCTCTTTGTAAATTGAATTGAGTACAACCTTTTTGATTTTCAGCGATCACCACCAACGCTGATAGGGTTGGTTTTCACTCGCTCACCAACAACGACCCTTTGGTTTTCACTCGCTCACCAAAGAAACGAACAATGACACAACCTCTAGGACACACTGCCTCTCCAATATTTTTCTGTCTCTCTTCTCTCTTTTGGGTACACAGTAAATCTACTAAAGTGAACTTGTGGTTGGATAGACAATTGTATAGAAGGCTGCGTGTCTTCTTCTTTCCTAGGCTCTCGTTTTTATAGTCTTCAATAGCTTCTGACGTTGGGCTTGATTTTGCTGATCCCTTGATTTATTCAATCAGAATATTTTCTCCTTTGATTGAGTAGATACCAACGTGACTTCCTGATGAAGTGTCTTGTTGATGGACTCAATTATATTTCCAATTTGCTGATATTCTGGACTTCATGCCTTACGCTCATTTGATTTTTTTCCTTGTAAAGTAGTCAATATTATTGTGTATCCATAAAATGAGATCTTCCCATTTGAAGTGTTGTCAACAAATTCACCAGTATATATTGAATCTTTCTTCCTTGAAAGAGCTTGGTGATTCTCTGCCATTGATCTTGGAGATATAATTTCTTACTATAATATTGTAGTAAGAATATTCCATACGTAGTAGATCTTGTCCAAAACTTTAGGAAGCATTCTTCCATAATTCACAAGGTTCCTTTAGTAGGTCTTGAAAAATAATCTCTTTCCATAAAATAGATTGTACTATACCCATAATATATTTTCTTTCCATAGAAGATATATTCTTCTCCCATTATATTGAAAATATTCCTTTCTTGATCTTGGAAGATATCTTTCCATAATATAAATTGTACTACATCCATAACATATTTTCTTTCCATAGAAAATATATTCTTCTCCCATTATATTGAAAATATTCCTTTCTTGATCTTGGAAAATAATATCTTTCCATAATATAAATTGTACTACATCCATAATATATTTTCTTTCCATAGAAAATATATTCTCCCTTGGTCTTGTAGTATCTTTTCCATGTAGTATCTTCCTTCCATAAAATAATAGATCTTCTCCATGATTTTAACAACTTTCCTTTCAAGATGTTGAAAAGCTTTCCATCCATAAGTTCCATAGATTTTTCTTCTGATATTGTAGTAAGCCATTCAATATTTGAAATTTCACTTTCAAATATTATTCCTTCTAGATTAAATCTCTGAAAATAATCTTCCTTGATGAATTCTTCACATGATATTCTCTTTCCCATATTTGTTTGGATCTTTACCAGCAATTTATTTCCTGTACAAGAATAAGGTTACCACAAGTAAATGCTCTTTGATTAATAGTTATTTTGGTTTGTTATCATCAAAATTAATACGTGAAACCTTGAAGCTAACACAATCTTCTCTTTCCCACCAGACTCTTCGACCCTCGGTGGCGCATGTGAATCATCGTGCCACGAATGAGTTGAGGGGCAAAAATATTGAGCATATGCCCCAAAGTGATCTCACGACCAGCAAGCTCCGTAATAAAGGGTAGGCGTAGAACGCGCAATACCCTGGGCGATCAAAATGGACTATGTCGTCCCCCACCGCCGGCAGTATTTCAACATGGCAAGGGATCCCCCACCTAGCCTTCAATTCTGCGATTCCCTCCTCAGTTACGACGGATGGAGCAGGTTCCGGCTCCTCCCCGGCGGGGCTGTGAAAATCACTCCACACTTTTCTAGGGTGAGGCAAGATTTCAGCCACCGATGGGACCTCCTCATCCTCTACCACGTCTGCTCCTCCAGTGGCCAGAACATCATTTTTCGGCGCCGGAGTTGTGGCAGAAAGATCAGCGCGAGAAGAATCGCTAGCCATTTGAATCGATTTGACAGAGCAAGAAGATAAAGAAAAGAAGAGACGAAAATTTTTGGCCAACTAAAGGAAATCAAAAATCCAAAGAATCGGGAGGAAAGAGGATTCGCAAAATTTTCTTATGCGAAGGCAAAGAATCTGTCAAATCGAATGGTGCAGTCCTATTTATAAGAGACATAAGTTTTCCGAGCACGAAATCCAAGAGTCATCAATTGAAGTTGATAGGGCATAAAATGATTCAACCCCCTAGGAACGTGTGTTATAATGGCAAATAACCGTAAATGACGCTTCAGGACAAACGATGTTCAGGCTCCGAAACGACCAAAACGGTTCGAGGGTATCAAAAAGATGTCGTCATATTGCTAGAATCTAAAGACCATACCCAAGAGGTAGGTGATCAGATTTCTCTTAGATATGTGACGACCATAAATCCGCCTACCAGGCCCGATAAGAGGCGACCCCGGTGGATGGAGGGACTAACTATATTGGTCAAAATCTAATCGCTACAGTCGGCTTGACTAAGATCCCGTCTAAGCGACAAGATGGTAAAGGACGACACAGTTTGCTCCGTGACCCCGTACTTACAATGCCCGCCATGACAGAGAATGACACTCAGGGAATGACGAATGCCAACGTCGTGCGAGTTCATATTGACCTATAGTGAGAATTTCATAACTATATATAGGGGAGGAGTCTCTCAAGAAAGGGGTTTTTTTTCTCTCTCTGGCCTCTCCTCTGTAATTTTCTTAGAAAAGAGGGGCCTTCCCATAGAAGATAAGAATGAATGATCTTCATCGATTAATAAATGAGGAAATATGAAATATCAATGAGATTGATCTATTCTGGTTTCATTTTATGCATTATTCTCCGATTCGCTTATAGATCTGGAGGTTATTAGCCTTGACTAAGATTTGCTCCTTCATCTTCTTTGATTGATTTTTTCAAAAAGGTTTTAGTATCTTTTGAGTCAAACAAGGTTGTTTCCAATAGATCATTGGCTCAGAAAGGTAGGGAGTAGAAGAAGAAGAATAAGAAGTAGAAGAAGAGGAAAAAAGAGAAAAAGAAGAAGAAAAAGAAAGAAAGAGTGAGAGAAAAAAGGGAGGGAGTAAAGAATAAGTAGTAACAAAATAGTTAAAATAGGGACATACGATAACTGGAACGAACTAAACAACATGACGTAATCTAATCTTGGGAGTAAGAAAGTACATGCATACTACTAATACTACTGGTAAGAAAGGGGGAAACTATCAACTACCTGTTAACCTTCTACCCTAATCCTCGATTTTCACATCCACCTATCAAGGTCACATCCTCAATAACCTGAAGTCGCGTCATGTCCTACTAATCACCTCTCCTCAGAACTTCTTAGGCCCGCCTCGACCTCTTCTCAAACCCACCATCGCCAACCTCTCACACCTCCTAATAGGAGCGATAATGCTTCTTCTCTTAACATGCCCGGACAATCTCAGCCTCGACTCCCGCATCTTTTCCTCTTTGGAGGCCACTCCCACTTTGTCCCGAATAACTTCATTCCTAATCTTATCTCTCCTGGTGCACCCACACACCCATATCAACATCCTCATTTCTACTGCTTCCATCTTCTACACATGGGAGCTCTTCACTGGCCAACACTCAGCCCCATCCAACAGGGTTGGTCGAACCACCACTCTGTAACTTTACTCTTAAGTTTTGACAGCATATTCTTATCACATATAATATCGGATGTAAGCCTCCACTTCATCCATCCCGCTCCAATACAATGTGAGACATCCTCGTCAATATCCCCATTACCCTATAATAGATCCGAGATACTTGAAACTATTTCTCTTGGGGATGACTTGAGTATCGAGCTTCACATCCACACTTGCTTCAAGAGTTCCGTCACTGAATTTGCACTCCAAGTACTCTATTTTGGTCCTGTACTGTAACAACTCGACTGGTCATTTTGAGCATTTGTACTTTGCTCGCCAGTTCTTGGGCATGACTAGCCCCGTATGATGTATTATGACTTATGTAAATCGTCGGTTTTTGTATTCAAGTTAATCGGAATAGATATAGAAGAATGATTCTCAGCTTGAAGCTTTAAATTTGAAAGGTTTGACCAAGTTTTGACTTTTTAGTATTCGATCTCGGATTTGGATTTTTATGATTTGGTTAGCTCCTTTGGGTGATTTTTGACTTAGGAGCGCGTCTGGATTGTGATTTGGAGGTCCGTAGTAGAATTTGGCTTGAAATGGCGAAAGTGGGAATTTTGGAAAGTTTGATCGGGACTGGACTTTTCAATATCGGGGTCGGATTTCGATTCCAGAAGTAGGATCAGGTCCGTAATGTCAAATGTGATTTGTGTGCAAAATTTGAGGTCAATCGAACGTGATTTGATAGGTTCGGCATCGGTTGTGGAAGTTAAAGTTTCAAAGTTCATTGATTTTGAATTGAGGTGTGATTCGTGTTTTAGCGTTGTTTGATGTGATTTGAGGCCTCCACTATGTCCGTGATATGTTTTGAGACTTGTTGGTATGTTGGGGCGGGGTCCCGAGGGGCTCTGGTGAGTT